GGCTGTTGAGTGACTATTTTCCTAATGCTCCCCAAAGCTGTGCCGCATCAGCCAGCCTCCAAGAGCTCCCTGGCCTTGTGCAGTCCCCTGGGGGAACTGCCAGAGCCTAGCAGCCCTCAGCTCTGGACATGTAAATCTTGTGGCTTGGATCACATGGCTCCTTTTAACAAAGAGAATTTCACCTGGTTGGTTAAAACACTTTTTTAATGGTGTCTAGTGTCAACACTGTCATCTGGGGCCCCCACATGGGTCGTATGGGCCCAGGACCAGGCACACCTCCCTTCTCTGAGACCGTCCTGCTGTGGCACCTGGCCTCCCCTCGTTGGCCAGTGCCCCTTGCTCTGCAGCCATTCATCATGCAGCGCTCGCCCCTCGCTCAGAATGCCGAGCCGGCGGCGGGGGCGGGTCGAGCCAGGCAGCAGTCAGTCACACCAGGTGCTGTTGGGGACCAGGCTCTGGAAGAGGAGAGACAGCTGGCGGGCTGGGTGCTGGTCCCCCGCATCCCTCCTTCATTCACTACTCACACGCCCTGTCTGGGGTCGGGAACACAGGTGACGGCAGCATCCACACTCCTCGCCTGCAAGAGAGAGACGTGGCATGTCAGACGTTGTCACCAGAAGACGTGGCCCAGGGGCTGGAATGTTTCTCCCCAGGGCAGGACAGGCCCGTGGAGGAGGGTGGGAGGGCAGCCAGGGCAAAGTCTCCCTTGGCAGGCAGGAACATGGGCCCGTCCACCATGCCCCAGATGGGGACAGGGGCTCCTCCTAAGGTCTGTGGCCGGTGATGGACAGAGCTGGAGAAGGTCATGCTGAGTGAGATAAGCCAGACCCGGAGAGTCAAGGCCAGGCAGAAGGCTGACCAGGGAAGGGGAGAGTGGGCAGAGTGGCCCAGAGGGGAGATCATGGGACAGAGGGAGGTGGAGGGCAGGGGAGGGGAGGAGATGCAGAGGACCGTGACAAGACCTGGCTGTGCACGTGTAGACGCCTACCCTCATGCACCTCTGCAAAGCACCGACCAAAGCAAATGAGTAAACGAGCGGAAGGAAGAAATCTCTTCCTCCCTGAATCGATGGAGGTGCCCATCACCAAGGAATGCTCCTTCCTGTCCTCTACTTCCTGTGGGTGGGGGGTGCACCTGGAGACGCTCTTTCTCCAGGTGAGGATGCTGCCGTGGGCTGCCAGGCCCTGGCTCCTGCGGGCCTCCCCCACCCGAGGACTTGTCTGCCCAGGTCCCACTTCCCAGGCCACACGGGCACCAAGGGTGTATCCTGGAAGGGTGTTGGCCAAGGGACAGGGTGCCAGGCAAGCGGAGCCCTGCTGCCCTGCGGAGCAGCCTGGGGGCAGGATCCTCTCCTGAAGTGACCACGACTCCCAGCCAGTGGGCGAGCCGAGGGCTCCGTTCTTAGCGGTCTGAGACCTGCCAGCTGCGGGCTGTGGGTAACTGCCACCAGTGTGGGCAGAGGCCTGGGCTCTGAGTCATGCCTGTTTTCCCTGGAGGTGAGTGGGTGGCCTGACCCTGCAGGTGGAACAGGATGGGGAACCTTCTTCCCCGATCTCCTGACTCCTGAGTGGTCGGACACAACTCCAGACGACCTGCCAGAGCCTGTCCGTCCTGGGAAGCCCGGGTGTGCAGGAGGGCTTCCGTAGGCCCCGGCCTCCCACGGCTGGGCCTCCTCTACAGCCGGCCTCCACTACCCTCCCTTCTCCCTCTCTGGCTCTCTGAGAGGCCCTGTTGTGGCCCTTCTCAGTGTCCATTCACCAGCCCTGGTGGCCCCTCCTCTCAGGCACCCACCCAGCTCCCAGGGCCTCAGGCCCCTTGAAGCCCTTGTCTCCAGCAAACCTGACCTGAGGCCCCAGTCCTTCCATGCCCGAGGCTCGGTGTCAGGACCCCAGGGCCTCTGCAGGAGGTCCAGTCAGCAGGGAGCCCCATGAGTCACCAGCCTTGCCAGCAAACTTCCAGCTGCCGGCTGGGGGCCGAGAGCCAATCAAGCCTGACACCCTTCAGGTCCTCAGGGCTAGCAGGTGTGGCGCTGAGCTGGGCGTGCACCCTTGATGTGGTCACTGGCACTGTGTCCTCTGGGGTCCGTCCTTAAGCTCCAGGAGCAAACCTGTGCCTCCCAGGACAGGAGGGCAGGATGGAGGAGGGACATAGAGGAAAAGTGCATGCAGGTGTGAACAGCGTCCCCACTGCCACGGGACTAGAGTGACAACGTGAAGCGTCTCTGGAGTCTGCCAAGGATCCTCTGGAATTCAAAGTCACCGCAGGTGAGAAGCCCTGGTCTGAGCCATGCCTCTGTGTCCCTGGATGCACTCTGTGCCTGAGCCCTCTGTCCCCGGGCTGCAGGTGGTGGCTGTTCTACATGTGGCCCGGCTACTGTTGCCTCCCAAGCCTAAGCCTGACAAAGGACAGGAGGAGTGACACCTCCCCAGCCACAGCTCCCTGCTCAGAGAGCCCCATTCTTTCCTGGGGGTGAAGAAGCCCCACTGTGGAGACGCCCCCAGAGGAGCGGAGCGGGCAGGTGTGTGGCCGGCTCAGGGGGAGACAGCAGCCACAGCACAGATGCTTGGCCAGCCACCCGCACACCGTTTTAGGCCACCCCCTGCCGGTTCAGGGGTGCTGGGCTCAGAGCAGCAACTGCTAGATATTTGGGTGGCCAGTCCCTTTCTGACCAGAATGCTCGGTGGGGCTTCGGGAGGCAGGGGTCAACTGCTCATCGGCCTCAGGACACCAGGCCTGCAGCTGTAAGGATGACCGAGGCAGTCGGTTGGACATCCTGGGACAGGCCTGAGGTCCTGCAGGCCTGCAGGGCCCCCCAAGCCCAGCCTGTCACTTGGACCCTAGAATGGTGACTGCTGTTGTTGCCGTTGCTGGTGGGAAGGGGCGGGGGCTGGCTGTGGGCGTGAGGATGTGCAGGCTGGCACGAGGCGGGGGGCTGGGGATGTCCAGCTACAGGGGGCAGAGCCTCGGCTGGCCACGGCCTAGGGCTACAGCCAATGGGGAAACGGGGGGCAGCCATGGCGCAGGGTAAACCCACGGCCACATCCTGAAGGGACTCGGACTGACCCCCATTTGCAGTGGCCTTCCGGTGCTGGCACCGCTGTTTCCTGAGCTCACCCGTGTGTGTCTCCTCCACAGGCCGCACATCCGGGGCCCCCAGACCAGAACCAGCCTGCTCACAGGGCCAGTTCCCTTTTGGTTTAACGCTGACGCGCCTTGTGGGACCTGAGCCTGTTCCTCTGCGAGCACTTTGACTTGTTGACTTTCTGAAATCATGAGTAAGTAGGACTGGGCAGGGGCGCAGATCTGCTCCAAGGGGCCGCCTCATACCCAGGAGCTCTCACGGTCCCAAGTCACGCATGCTCAAAGATGACCTGTGAAGGGATCAAGTCATGACTGTCACACAGAGAGAAAAGGATGGCACGTGTTTGGGGGGAAATCGTTCAGATGTTGGCGAGGTCAAGGGAGAAGGAAAAGACACGAGCGTACGTGGAGCAATGGCCCTTCAGGGATGGGGTGCCTGCTCACTTTGGGGTCCCCACTGCCCACCACGCCCTCCTGCTCTGTGGCCGTTATGGCGTGGTGTGCTGCCCTGCCGGGACCTGTCCTGTGCACCTGTGTTCTCTGCAGCCGCCACTGTCCACGAAGTGCCCATGATGGGGGCCCCTCCCCCACCCCACCGTGCACCTCCAGCAAAGACCCACAGACTTTGTCCTTGGGGACGGTGGGTCAAGGGTGTGTGGGGTGCAGAGCCCGGCACAGGGCAGGCCTCCCTGGTCTGATGGATGGCAACGAGCTGCTCACTTTACAGAGGTCCACAGGGGTGCGGGCTCGGGGGCAACCCCAGGTTTGTAGAGGGCAGAGGTGGGGGCAGCCTGGTGGGGCAGGGAGGGAGGCTGGGGAGGCGTGATGTGGTGGGGGAGTCACCTATGGAGCTGGATGACATCAGAGGACAGGGCAGCAGCTGGATCCCGCAGATGTGGGCAGGTACACTGGGCTGGCCCTCCCCCTACTGGGTACCCTCTGTCCTGTGGTGCTGGGCAGCTGGTGCCCACCTCCTGGTCACTCTGCAGCAAGGCCCAGCCCTTTGCTGTGCTGTTGAGGAGCAGCTGTGTCCCAGGGGCAAGGGTCCTGAGGAGGTCCCCTGAAGGGAGATGGACCTCAACTCAGGCCATGAGGGTCCTTGTCGTCATCACGAAAAGGAATCTCAGGACAGGAGAAAGCAAGGCCAGGCTGACCTCCCCGAGAGAGGAAGCTCGCTCTGAGAGGGTGCAGTGTGGGCATCGGGCAGCGGAGCTGTGCAGGCCAGGCACGCGGCGTGGTCAGATCAGCATGGCAGACAGAGGGCGGAGGGGTGTTTCCAGCCCGCCCCTGGGCTGCGACTGGGCAGGCTGCCCACAGGGCTGATTTCCTCATTGCTGATGTGTTCTGCTCTGCGCACACGGTCCCTCTGTGCTCCTGGGCGTGAGGCCTCGTGGTTGACTCAGTTGCTGTTTGTGACCAAGCGTGTGCACGTGCCGGGAGGCCTGGGTTGGAGTGTGGCCCCTCTTGGTGGCCCCACAAGCCTCCTCTCCACCCATCCTTAAGTCCAGCCTCCTGCGGTGCAGCCCTGGGGCCTGCTGCACCTCCTCAATGGGCAGTGGGCCGTGTCTTGACACTGGCCCATCCCCCGTGGCCCAGGCTGGAGCCCCTGCCCTCTGCTGGGCACTCTCTCAGGTGGTCTCAGGTGGTCTCAGGGCTCAGCAGAGTCTGGCTGGGGTCGGCCATGGCCCCAGGGGCTGGGCATTCTCTCGGAGCTGGGCTGTAGTGGACTGACCTCTGAACCCAGGGATTTCCAGGACACCCATGTGTGTTCCTTCTTCCCCGACATCTGCAAGGCCTGCAGGAGCCCCAGACGCCGGGGACGCTGGGGCTCATTTCCCAGAGAAGCACATTCCAAGTCTGCACTCTTGACTGTGGCTGAGGGTCAAGCCCTGTGTCCATGGCTCCCAGCGAAGCAAACAGAAGCGATCCCTCCCCTCGGCACGGGATGTCCACCTGGCCAGCACTCGCCAGCCGAAGGTCCTGAGGGCTTTGGCCACCCATCTCTAAGCATTCATTAGGCACCTACTGCATGCTCCACAGGGAGAGCTAGAGGCAGATTGTGTATCATCCCTCTGGTCCAGAGAAGCCGCTGGGTCCCAGGATGAGCTGAAGAGTCCCTGCTACCTACCCAGCGCCCACGGCTCCCACGGCCCCGTGGCCTCCACTGCCCCCATGGCCCCTGACCCCCACAGCCCCCGGTCCCCATGGCCCTATGGCCCCCAAAGCTCCCACGGCCCCCATGTTCCCCCTCCGCCCCCACGGCCACGGCCCCCATGTTCCCCCACGGCCCCCCCTTGCGCTGCGTCATGCTGGATTCAGTGCAGATGTGCAGGGGCAGGAGGGCCTGGGAGCAGACGTGCCTACACCCAGGGGAGCGGGCCATTAGTCACTCTGGTGGAGAGGGGAGGAGGGAGGGCAGGGCAGCCCAGCTGGAGGCGGCCAGGGATCCAGGGTGGAGTGCAGTGAGGACTTCCAGCCCTGGCAGCTGGACAGCCGTGTCTGTGCCGGCCAATGCAGAGAGGCGCCACCCCTACCTGACGGCCAGTGCTCCTCGCGACACCCCTACCTGACGTTTCCTGCGGCCTGGAGCCCACACTGTGTTCTGGCCTCCTGAGCTGGCTGCACAGATGGCTGTGTCCAGCTTGGCCAGAGGGCAAAGGGGCTGGTGGGAGGCCAAGGGACAGGGACACTCTGGGTTCAGGCACACCCCCCCACTACCTGGGGTCTTTTCTCCAGACCCCTGCTCTGTCAGGCTCTGCAGGTGGCTACAGAGGTGACAGTCCTGGCCCGGCTCAGGCGGCTGTCACAAAGCATGGCGACGTGGGTGGTTCTGTACAGAGCTGGGGTCTTCCACACACTGAGGCAGCTCAAGGACCGTCCCCTGCCCCGCCTCAAACCCTGCGTCTTGTGATCAAGTCAGAAAGATTTCAGGCTTGTCACTCAGAGTAATGGGCATGAGTTTATCAAAGGAGCAGAAAAGGGCAGCAGGGACACTCTCAAGGGAGAGGGGCTCCTCTCAGAGAGGAGAGGGACAGCGTGCCACTCTTGCACTCCAGTTTTATTGGGGCAGTCCAGAGAAGTTTCCAGAAAGTCCCACCCAGGTCCACCTCTTGACTTTTGATTGACCAGGATGACATTAGACTTTCAAGTCCCCACTGCCATGACAACTCTAGTCACCTTGTCTCACACTGACCACTAGTAACTGGATTTCTTTCCTGGGGCGGGGTACTGAGGACTGAACCCAGGGGCACTCGGCCGCATCCCCAGCCCTGTTTTGTATTTTATTTAGAGACAGGGTCTCACTGAGTTGCTAAGTGCCTCACTTTTGCTGAGGCTGGGTCTGAATTTGTGATCCTCCTACCTCAGCCTCCCGAGCCACTGGGATTACAGGCGTGCACCACTGTTCCTGGCTCTAATTGGATTCTTAACATAAATCATTTCAGGTTTTATGGTGAGGAAGAATTATCCTTAAAATCCTGAGCTCCTAGATCTGGTCACAAAAGCCCTTCAGGGTAGGCTTATCGACATGATTTTGCGCCTGCGTTTCTCCAGCAGATAACAGGTCGTGTGCTGGGGACTGTGTCTCCTCATGGGTCCACTCCAGCCAGGCAGGGCTGCAGGTAAGTGCTTCTGACAAAGCAGGCTCGTGAGGGCCAGCACGTGGGCCACTCATAGAATGAGTCCCTCCCTCCCGCCCCCACCCCGGCGCCTGTCCCCTCGCCGTTCAACACCAGCAACTGTTTCTCCTGGTTCTGGTCTGGACGTCCGAGGTCCAGGTGCCAGCAGGTCCGTGTCTGGGGAGGATTGTGGATGGCCCCTTTCTCCTTGTGCCTTGACGCAGCAGAGAGAGGACAGCTCTGGGTCTCCCATCAGGATTTCTCCTCGTGACCTCGTCACCTCCTGCAGGCCCACGTCAACACCAGCCCCTGGGGGCATAGATGCCCGGATGTGAACTGGGGACGCAGACATTCGGTCTATAGTGGCGGGTTCTGATTCTGAGTTAAAGGAACCCGTGTTGCGAGGCCACCCAGGTTCTAGAATTGGGGCCTCTCCTGCACCCCAGCATTATGTGCCTAAGTCTCAGGGGATCCTCGTGTGTGGTTACCAGAGAGCAGGCCACCAGTGAGTGCCTGGTGACGTGAGGCAGACGGGGCGAGAGGGAAACTATGGACCCTGGAAGAAACAGGCGAGTCATGGGTGGACAGTGCTGGCCGTAGCACCCCTGCTGCTCACGGCTCCAGAGGAGAGGCGGCCCCCACCACGCAGCACAGGCCCAGGACAGAGCTGGAGGTTCAAGTGCAGCCACCACTGAAACTCAGTGGACAGTGGGGAGGCAGGGACAAGGGCATCTGACAGAGAAGAGAGGAAGCCAGACAGGCAGAGGCTGGGTGTGTGGCCAGCAGGACCCCAGCCAGAGAACCCAGGCAGGACGGGGCAGAGCGCTGTGGTTTGGGGGGCTTGGGTGTCCCCCATGGCACCCTGCTGAGATTCAGTCACCACCGTGAGGTATCAGGAGGATGGAAAGGCCACCCGGTGCTGAGCGTGGGGGCTTTGGAGGGATCAGGATTAGACAAGGCCACAGGCTGGGGCCCCTATGACTGGGTCCTGGTGGCTTTATAAAATAGGGAGGGAGACCAGAGGACACACACACACACACACACACACACACACACACGACATGGGATTCTCTGTGCTGCCTCAGGACTCTGCCAACAGGAAAGCCATCACCAGAGGCAACCCCTTGACCTTGGACCTCCAGAACCATGAGCTAAAATAAACCGTTTTATAAAACAGCCTGCCTTGGTGGTTTTGTTATAGTAACACAAGGCTGCCTGACACAGAAACCGAAGTTTCTGAATTGAAGGGATGTGAATTTTCAGGCCAAAAGGTCCAGTTGAAAAGGAGCCACAACCATGAGTAGTAATAATGAGTTCAAATATTGTGAATTTCAGAAAATGAAGGGGAAAAAAGGGAGACTCTTAAATATTTCTGAGGAACATCTCCCTCATCCTTGAAAACGAAGTTGTCATCAGGCTCCCCGCCATGGGCAGGTGGAGCTGCTGGAGTGGGTGGGCAGCCCCAGTAATGCCCTCAGAAGGTTTTCTGCTGAGGATTTCATCCCCAGCCAAACTGTCCACCAGGCATGGAAGTGGATGGCAGGTGTTCAGGCTCCCGGGGACCGGGAGAGGTACGCCCTCGTGCCTTCTCCAGGACATGCTTCAGCAAAATGAGGAGGACCCCAAGGAGCTGAGAGGGGTTGGGCCCACAGCAGGCTCTCCAGCTCTCAGGACGAGGGGAGAAAGCCTGGTGGCCCCCTTCACCGCTGCAGAGAGCCAGCAGTCCAGAGGACAGCAGGAGGGCTCTGGAGAGGGGACCCTCAACGAGTGAGAAGACATGTCGGGGTGGAGCTGTGCCCCCGGAGGTCAGCTGAGGTCACAAATGCCGTGCCTGAGGCTGACTTCCTGGGAGGTGGAGTCTGGCGGAGGCCATCAACCTAGGCGCCGTCATAGGATCAGGGTGGCCCTGGTCCAACACAACTGGCGTCCTCAGAAGAGGAGAAGATAGCCACAGGAGAAGGGCCCCATGACCCCAAGGCTCCTGGGCAGAAGGGGGCTGTCAGTGGCTCTGAGGGTCTCTGGCTCCTCAGCCGCTCAGGATGGTGCCGAGTGCCCCATCAGGCTCAGGGACATTCCGTGGGCGCTGCTCTGTCTAGGCCTGGCCTGGGAAACTTCCCGCCCGACAGACACCATGTGGGAGACGTCAGTCTTTTATTCCCGGCCATCACGGATCAACTTTGTTTTGCTGTGAGATGCCGCAAGAATGGTAGCCATGACCACAGCCACCGCTGACAGCCGCTTCCAAGGGGCTTGCGCTGAGAAGGAGCAAGCCCAGAGCAGTGTGCTCAGCTCCACCCAGGCCTGCTGTGCCCACTGACTCCTCCAGCTGAGAGAGGCCTGAGGGGCATGGGAGGCTGTATGTGGAGGGGACTGTGACACCCAGGTCTTCTCGGGGCTCCCTCGGCCTGCACAGACACATCCTCAAGACTTGGGTTTCCTTTGAGGGGACCCCACAAGCCCCAGTGATGTGGCGGAAGGTGCCCGGGCCTGCTCCCTGCCTGGTCTCAGGCCCTTCCCGGGGCAGCCATCACCACGGGGAGGCGGAGGCCGCAGTGCTTGGCTGGGAGGGTTCACTCCACAGCTGCCAGGGCAGCAGAGCCGTGTCGAAACCTCCTCCGCAGGGAGCCAGAGAGGGCTCTTGCCCTCTCAAGTGGCCAAATAAATATGGGCTTCAAAGCTGTGGCTGGGGGCCATGGCATCTGCTAAGATGTGTTTTGCAAGCTGTGGTTTCGTACACAACTTGAATCATCAATCACTCTGGTTCTTATTTAGCTTTCTATAAATGTGGGCTCTTAAGAGAGGCCTGAGAGACCCTTCCAAGGCACACCCCAGTGACATCCTCCCTCCACTTTGGGCTCGGTCATCCATTCAGCCAACAGCGGATTAATCCACTGCTGAGGTCAGAGCCTCGTGATCCCATCACTACTCCCCCGTCCCCAGCTCGCATGAGACTCTGGGGACATTCCGGATACGACCCATCACATTCCATCCCTGGCCCCAGGGTCTCCTGATGATCACACAGTGCAGAATGTGTCTAGTCCACCCACAGGGTCCCCGCAGTCTCAACAGTCCCTCCACTGCTCAAAAACCCAAGTCCAAGATCTCCTCGGAGACTCAAGGCAACCTTCTGGCTGTGAGCCCCAGAATCCAAACATAAAACGGCCCGCAGAACATTCCCCTTCCCAAAGGAAGGAACAGAGGCATAGTCAGAAAGGGCGGGGTCAAAACAGACCAAAACTCAGCAGGCAAACACCAAGTCCTGTGGCTCCACGTTGGGCTCCACGACCCTTGGAGGTGGAGTGTGGGTCCCACGGGGCTGGGGAAGCCCTGCCTGTGCGGCTCTCTTGTGCTGGCTCTGCTCACTGCCTGGCTCTCCTCTGCAAACAGTCTGCCTTCCCGGCACCTCTGACTTCTTGGCTTCTCCATCACAGCCTCAGTTTTCAGCTTCACACATTGCCCTGTCAGGGACTGCCAGCGAGGACCCTGAAACACGGTGTCTGCCCCTTGCGGGCCTTCCTTAAAATCTCAGTGGAAGCCTTCATGACCCCCAGACTCCAGCGTCTTGCAGAACCAGACCACATGGGCGATGCCAAGGTCTGTCACCAGCTCGAGCAGCAGCCAGGCCCCCTGGGGCCACGGCTGCAGCCGCCTCTGAGTGCCTGGGGAGATGCCTTCCTGGGCAGCACTGGTGCTCTCCCCTCCAAGCAGCGCCTTTCAAACCAGTGGACCCTTTTCTACTTTGGAGCGAGTGGGTGTGGCCTGGATGTTTGAGTTGCCCTCAGGGCCACTTTCCCACCGTCCCTGTGTGCCCTGTGCGACGTTCTGGGCTTCTCTTTTATCTACTCTCCTGAGCACCTGCATCCTCCTCGGCCCCAACTTTCGATGCTTTTCTGGCCAAACTGCTAGTTTTTAAGCCTTTTCCCTCTGTTTTCTGCTTCCAGTTCTCATGGTGAATCTGGCCCCGAGCTGCCCACAATATCTACGCCAACATCTCCATGGGTGCTGCCTTGAAATCTCCTCCGCTGATGTGTCCATCACCTTAAATTCAGCCTCACAGAAAGTCTCAGAACACGGGCAAAATGGAGAGGAGTTATTTTCCAGGATGTAACAAACGGCCTCTGGTCCAATTCCCAGCAGAGACCTCGTCCCACGCGAAGGTTCCTGAGCACAGTCTTACTGTCTGCGTTCCTCCTGGCATTCTGGATTCTGGGGTCCCGTCACAGTCACCCACTGAGTTCTCCTTACATTCGAAGGAGAATCTCCAGCCTGCATCTCCGACTTTTCCAAACTCCTCCTACAAACCAGTTCCAAAGGCTTCCAAACCACAGCGCCAGGGGTTCACATAGTCACAACAATGACCCCACTTCTGGAACCAATTTTCTGTATCAGTCAACACTCGGTCACTGTGACCAAGATACTTGATGAAAACAACTTAGAGGAGGGAAGATCGATTATGGCTCATGACTTCAGAGTTTTGGTCAGATGCCTCCATTGCTTTGAACCCGACGTGAGGCAGAAGATCCTAGTGAAGAGTTGGAGGAGCAGAGCTGCTCGGCTCACGGCAGCTGGGAAGGACAGAAGTGGGGGAGGGCGGAGAAGACGGAACCTCCTAGGGCTTCCCAAGGCTGACTTCTCCAACTAGGTCCCGGCTCCAGGACTCTCCCAGCCATCAGTGGGTGAATCCACTGCTGAGGTCAGAGCCCCGTGATCCAGTCACTTCCCCAAAGCCCCCTCTGCACCCAGGAGACTCTGAGGACAGTCCAGATCCTAATCACCACAGCAGCAGTGTGGCTCCCCCGCTCTGGCCTCTGCTCCTGCCTCACATCTCGGGCCTTCCTCTGACAGGGACCCTGTGACGACTTCAGCCCACCAGGATCACCGAAGCTAATGTCCCCATCTCCGTCCCTAAGTCAGTCCCACCTGCTAAGACATCCCAAGGTGTGGGGCCCATATTCACAGGTTCCAGGATGGAGCCGTGGATCTCTTTGGGGCCATGATTCAGCCCACTACACATAGATCTTGTTAACTCATATCAAAGTTTTCTAGTGGAAGGTGAAGTATCTGAGAATTAAAGAAAATAAACAACAGCAGAGGTGACCCTGGCAACACAGCCAAGGACCTGGCAGGGGCCCCCTCAGGGCGGAGTGGGTGCAGCCACAGAGGGCTTTCTTTATGAGCTCCTCACTGTGTCTTTAGAGACGAATCGCCGTTATTATTACTAGTTAATTAAACAAATGATTCGATTACCGCAAAGAAAAGATGGCTGCTGGGTGTGGTGGTGCACACCTGCCCAGCTACTTTGGAGGCTGAGGCAGGAGGATGGCAACTTCAAGGCCAGCCTGGATAACTTAGCAAGACCCTTTCTCAAATTAAAAAGAGCTGGGGACCTAGCTAGTGCAAGAGTGCCCCTAGGTTCCATCCCAAGTGCCACCAAAAAATAACTTATTAAATTAACTAAAAAAAGATTGCAATGTCTCAGGTGCCCAAGACCCTGGCCCCTCTGGGGGTGTGCCTGAGTTTAAAGGCTGTGATGTGGAGACCCTGCGTAGAGCAGGCTATGCTGAGGTCAGGTGAGTAGAGTGGGGGCGAGGGGAGGAGGGGCTCAATCCAAGGGTGGAGGGGGCTCTGGGCTGGTGGCCTTGACACGGGGGCGGGGAAGTACCAAGCACTTCCCCCCGGCAGGCTGGGGACCAGGCACTAGAGCCTCAGCTTCCCAAGGGGTCTTGCCAAGAGCCTGGGCACCCAGTGCCCCAGCTCCATCTCTAGGTCCCCCCAGTGACCAGCACTGGCCACAGTACATGTCCTCATCAAGGATGAGCCCACCCTGGACAGGGCTCTGTGGGTCCTAGCAGGTGTCACGGGTTCCCAGGTGACAGGGTGGGGTTTTACAGAGGGGCAGTGGGGCTCCGGAGCCACAGGTGAGCAGGGTGTGACGGCCCCGCCTCCCAGGCACCAGGTGAGCCATCTCAGCTCCTCTCCACCGTGCTGCTGAGGGTGATGGGCAGGGAGGGACGGCACAGGCCAGCAACTCGGGCACCGACAAGTGTGGGGACAAGGTGACCTGCTCAGCTGAGGTCCCAAGCTGCCCAGGACAAAACCCACATCTTACTCAGAGAATCCACTAACAAACCCGCCAGCCCCTTCCCTCCCGCTGGGAGACTCTCAGGGGAAAGCCCCGCCCTGCACCCACTCACACCCCCCCACACACGTGTACACACTCTCACACACTGAACCCCAGGACCCCGACACTCATCGCACTGCCACTGAAGACGGGAGGGAGCCAGGGGACAGCGCACCGCCAGCTCGGCTCACCCTGGCCACGCGGTGACGCCTGGTGCTGCCGCGGGCCTGCTGTGCAGACGGCCCGCCACGGCTCCTGGGATCCACCTCCCGCGCGAACGCAGCAGACAAGCCCATCTGCAGCTTCTCCGAGAGAAACCTTGAGTGTCCACCGCGTCGGTGAGCGCCACGGTGACATGCCCCTCGCGAGGCCGTGGAACCTGGAGCTCCGTGTTTGTCAACAAAGTGCACTCGAGGCAGGGGATGGCATTGTACCACTGTGCGGCGATGCCAGGGGAGACGCCCGTCCCGGGAAACCCTGGCTTCCCTGCGCTGCCGAGCAGTCGGGGCAAGCCGGCGGCCGCGGGTGCAGGGGCTCCTGGAGGGCTTCCCGGAAACCACGCCCGCTGCACGGCCACACATGTGTCAGGAACTTCCCAGGGACTCTGAGGACAGGGCAGCTGAGCCCACCTGGCAGATCCTCCTCGTCACCTGTCACGGGGTGTTTGGAACATGGCTAGGAAGGGACTCAGAGGCTTGATTTCTCTTTCTTTCTTTTTCTGCTACCATAAAACTCCGTCCATTTCCCTTTGTAGAACCGAGGAGAGACCCAGCCCTGCTGAGCTCCGGTGATTCTAGCCATAACCAAGTCCAGACAGTAAGGAAAAACAGGCCGTGCTAGGAGACGCTTCCCCAACAATCTGCCTCTCACATTCAGACATCAGCCAGCGGTGGAGGCGCCACCTGTCATCCCAGGGGCTGGGGAGGCCGAGGCAGGAGGATCACAAGTTCAAGTGCAGCCTCAGCGACTAAGGCCCTAAGCAACCAAAACCCTGTCTCAAAAACTAAGAAGGACTGGGTGTGGTATGGGTATATAACTCAGTGGTTAAGCACCCCTGAGCTCAATCCCCAGTGGGGGGCTATTTATCTAATGTTGATATTTGCTGGTTGTTTTCATCAAATGCATATTAATTATTGCACTGCTTATAATTCAGAAAAAATCTTACACCCAGAGCCTCGTGGTGACAGTGAACGTCTCTGGCTCTGGTTCTCCTAGTGTGTAATTTGTTGCAGAAAAGTAAGACAGCGGTCGGGAAAACACATTCAAGACTAGAATACATCTGGGTGACTCTAGCTCTGGCAGGAGAGAATGAGGTGAGGGAGAGGAAGAGACAGAAGGCCCGAGGGGCGAGGAAGCTTGGCTCACGGCTTCTGAGTGTCAAACCGCGGGGGCATTGGGACACGTGTACAAGTGTGAAATCACAATCACTTTTTAAATGCCGGATTCCACAATATGTCAGAACTTATCTCCACGGCAGGCTCTGCAGGGCGCTCGAAGGCAGAAACCAAACCCAGGGGCAGGCGGGCGAGCTGACGCCGCAGACGGCAGGACCTTCATGACACCTGGGTGCTCTCAAAGCAGTGAAGGTCCAGGGGGCTCTGGTAGTGGGCTGCCTGCTGCACAGCCCGGGTCTGGCAGGTCCAGGAGGATGGGCTGCCACAGTCTGGGCACCAGGCTGTCGGAGGCCTCCAACGGCAGGGAAAGACCTGTCCTGGGGCGAGAGGGGTAGCAGGGAGCCTATGTCGGAGCCCAGGCCAGGAGCAGTGGGCCCACCCACCTGGACTCTGTCCCTGCTTCCTCAGAGACTGGACACCACCCGGTCGCCTCCAGTCCCCTTGATCTAGTCCTGGGACTGGGGCTGAGGCCGTCTAGTGCCAGGGACCTCCAGTCGCTCAGCAGAGCTCTGGAGCAGGTGGGCTGAGCTGCAGATTCTCAACCTGAGCAAGGGGTCTGACCGGCCTTCCTGGGCCTGGCGCCCACCCGGGCCCAAGGTCAGGGACGGCATCCTGTGGACAGGAGCGGTGGGTCAGGGAACAGCCCTCTTCCCCATATCCCCCCCACTCAGGAGAGGCGGGAGTGTCACCCCAGCACACCTGCACATCACACCTGGGTGGGCCTGGAGCACAGGAATGTCTGCTGTCCGCGTTTCATGACCACCAGCAAAGTGAGCAGAGCTCCCACCACTGCCCAGCAGGTGCCCGTGTGTGTGTGTGTGT